CTCTCTCTCTCTCTCTCTCTCTCTCTCTCTCTCTCTCGTATATAATATATAGACATAATATAGCCTCTAATACGGATATGATATATTTATTTGCATAATAAATAGTCGCTTCCATTCCCCCATATACGTATGTGTATGTGTACGCACGTATGTGTTTGTGTGTGTGTGTGTGTGTGTGTGTGTGTGTGTGTGTGTGTGTGTGTGTGTGCGCGTGCGCGCGTGCGATCCCTTATATAAGCTTATACAGTAGGCTAAAATAACATAGCCTAATTAACATGCGCAGAAAGATGACCGACCAGAAATACAGACAGATGGATAAATGACTCGACACACGTATGTATTAATCTCTTCTCCATAATGGCAGGTTGTATCAAACTTCCGGGTGCAGCTTCCCTGTAGTAATCACTCACCATAGCTCAGTTTTAGTAACTGTGTCTCCTACAGCTCTAGGTAACTGCTGATGGTGTTGGTGCTGGAGTTACTGTTGGGGTGCTGGTTTTGATTGTGATGATGGTAGCGGTTTCGGTTGCAGTTGTGCATACGGCGCCTGTAAGGTCTCGTTACGCTAGAATTACGAAGTTCTATCAGCTCCGCACCGGTACCTAGTTATGTTTTGAGAAATTAATTGACTTCAAAACGTATAAGCTTGACAACACGACAACACGTCAAGCCTTTTCGAACTCAATTCTTTGAATATCTTGATAATGACTACGAATAATCTTACGACTTTGATAGAGCAAATAAAACATATTTATCGGGGTCTGACCTCATCATGGTCTTAGTAACTCTAAGCAGTCAAAACTGCCAGATAGAACTTTGTATTTCTAAGGTAGCGAAGTTGCTAGTGACGTTGCAGTATAAGAGAGGTTGCTGTTACCAGGTGCAATGTATTCCCCTCCCCTCTTGCATTCCCCCCCTCTCTCTCTCTCTCTCTGTCTCCCTCTCTCGCCCTCCTCCCACACATCCCCCCCCCTCTCCACCCCCGATCTGTCTGATTGTCTGTCTGTTCCCTCAAATTAAACATATTTTCTTGGATAACCATCTCTACATCCGTGTTGCAAAGGGTTTTTTTTTTGTCATAACTGTTTTGGTTGGGGGATTTTCTTTGCCTCATATTAGTGGGCGAGGAAATTTGATCCGTGCTTCTGGTACAAAAAGATAAACAAGATATGAACCATTTTTATATCTCCCGGAAGCAGCACGAGACCGGTTTGGGTTAGCAGACACACAGGTCCGTCCAGTCGGGTCTGCCTCTGACGTCTGCACACGAATGTGTTCAGAAACAGTGTGTCATAGGTCCACGACATGTACTTTCAATATCTACCTCGATTACCATTGAACAGCTGCTGTTTAGTAAGAGTTCTACGGCGCTCGCAACTGCATAAGATCATATGAGAGCGCGAAACTTAGGAGTAAGTTGGTTGAATTCGCGACAGTTTTTAGCACGTCTTCATTTTGGTCAATGACCAGATTAAAATGTTTTAAAATGTCAAGGTAAAAATCTCAATCTAAAAATGACAATTTACATAATATTAAAATAATCGTGTTTACAATTTAGTGTAAAGGCCGGTGGCCTTTATAATAACGAGAATCCTGTTGGGATCAACGACGGAGAAAAGATCTTGTAATTTTGTACCTTTGAAATACCTCCTGGGAAATGTAAACGCAAGAGTATAGGTGCAGTCACTTGCGTAGACAAAAAAAACCCGTTTCTCAAATAGAAACTCGTTTGGAATAATCTTTGTATCTACAGCATAGATTCTAGACTTGAATTACAATATCCCAGATCGTGCATTGTCATGGTCGTTGATCTGGGCTGTCAACACAAACTTTGACGCTGCGAAGCGTGCGCACCACTGGCCACCAAAGGAAGTGCAAAACAACAGTCTCGCTTTTATCGAGGGCGCAAATGTGTATTTTTTCGTTTACAAGAACGGTACTCCTTAAACATAGCACTGTACGCAGATGACGTATTTGTCGTTACCGATCGGTTTGGAAAATTTGTTTTGTATTTCAAAAAGAGGAGTGGTCTATAACCTTAATATTATATGGGCCTACACCCATGGGTGTCTTTGGAATGGTCCATCCCACAATTGATGATACTATACTTGGTTCCCAGAAGATTAGCAAACTGTTGTAATTCACTAGTACATGAACATCTTTTCAAGAGAAACGAAAGGTTAAATTTATATTATTTACAGACAGTGCACTCATTGACAATAATATTTTCCCGCATTGCATAGGCATATTCGCGTACCATAATAACAATCGTTCATCGCATTATCCCAACATGACATGTAGCCTACCTGGATCCCCAGAGATGTCACCTCTACCTCAGAAGTTGACGTGTAATGACCCGCAATTGTTTACGGTCCCTGGCTGCAGTCTCGTGCAGTTTGTCATAAATAATATCCAGCCCTGTCCATACTTTGTTACCATGGGCCCACATTGTGCTATGGCCGTCCAACCTTCTAGCTCTTCTGCTGCACATTTTGTCTTCGAGTACTTCCTTCATAATGATCTCGTGGCCTTTTAAATGACCAAAATATTATACTTTTCTCATTTCTAACAGGCAGAGACAATAGTCATCGTCCGTTCGGACACCGTAACTCTTAGTAAACGGAAGGCTATTTCACGTTTGTGCGCAGACAATTTTGTAACGCAATATTAAAATTTGAGTACCGCAAACTGCTCTATATATAACCTCTGATATAACATCCCTCCTTTTTAACCTGTCTGCATCAAATCAGTACCAAACTGAGTTGAAATGAAAACTCCGTAGCGACTTAGTTGCGTGATGCCTGCGTGCATCAACAGTAAAACTAAACCAGTTTGACTGGACTACTTCACGCCCGTGTGTGTATATTGTATTATTATTACAAGGCGCTTGTAAATGGACGTTGAATCGTTTGTATTAGTTCACGAACCGACGTCTTGTCAAGTCCCTACAACTACAACTCCATGAGAACAAAAGAAAACCCCCAATTCGATTATGGATTATAAGATAGATTTACTGAGGTTTCATGTTATGTCGGTAAACAATCGAAAGATTTTTTGCGCGACAGCTGATTTGGCGCGCCATATTGTAAGAGTTAAAAGACTTAGCAGAAAACTGACTCCCTCCACCGATCCCTGTTCTGGACTTTTCTAACCACGTCGCTCAGCCACATGCCTGTTGTTCTGCTCTTCATCTCTATTTCTGCCTGCATCTCCTTCTGTTTCCCTGTATTGTGAAAAGCACGACTGTCCTGGCAAACCGCTGTAATGTAACTGCACCATTTAAGGTTGTGTTGTATTAGCAATTTGGACTGACAAAGGCCAAGAATGTGGTCTGTCTGTTCTCCGACTTGACAAGGTGGCGGTACGTGTGATAGGAAGGTGGAGTGGAGACGGTCGGCTGGAAAAAGAAATTGAAATTGGGGGGG